TTCTTTGTTCGAATAAGATTCATAAATTGTATACTATTGTTATCATATCGACCACAGGTTTTTGCATATCTCTTTTAGATACGTGTTTCTTCAGATAATGTGCGCAGCCTTTTTATATAAACCTGTATATCCCAACTACTCCCAAAAAAAAAAAAAAAAAAAAAAAAAAAAAAAAAAAAAAAAAAAAAAAAAAAAAAACAATAATAATGACAATACCAATAAACCAAGAGCTACCAACCAGCCAAAAAGCGAAACCCCTTGCCAAAAAGAAACTAAAAAATAAAAAGTGAAGAAACACACAGGTGCACGAAACGTTAGACTAATCGTCCGTTCGTCCCCTTCTATCAAAATCAGATTTCATAAACCATACGAGTAATTCCCTCGTTCCCTCCATCACCGCGCAGGAAACCGACACCCAACACATATCAACTTCGGATCCCCACTCTTCATGCGCATCGCACGGAAATTTTCCCCCCGACACCGTGGACACCTGAGATCCTCCCCATCAACGTCATCATCCTCCCCCCCTTCCTCTTCCTCATCATCACCACCACAATCTCCATAACCTCGACCATTCTCGGCACGAGCATGATAAAAATCCACCTCCGAGGAAAGAATATCACTACTCAACGTGCTCACCTTACTCACCTGTCGTACGAACGGGTGCCGCTCGTCATGCTCAAGCGACTCAACGGGCCGCAGGTTGCCTGACGCTTGGGAGGCGAACGCATCCTTATTCCAGTACATGTAGCTCTGGTCATCCAATAGCAGGAGGTTATCTGGCGAACACGCTCTTATTGCTGCTGGTCTGAGATTTTCGCTGTGGCGGCGTTCATGCTTGTTGCTGGTATGTGGTTCTCGCGGTGTCTGCTGCTGTGGAATACATTCAGAGGATGCTGCAGTACCGGAAGAGGGTCTGTCTATCATGGAGGGTTGTTTAGATGAGAAAGCGGGGGAGAACGAACGTATGGACGGCTCTTCCGCTGGGTTGAAAACAACGCTTGGGTTGTGGCCCTGGCCCTGGCCCCGGCCCCGCTGAGGCTTATCCTTATTCTTTTCCTTTTGTTTTGTGGAGGACTTGCGAGGAGAGATGCTTCGGGTTCTCATGGATAGGCTGGAGCGAAGGTTGTCAAAGCTGGAGTTTTCCGCGCCCATTACTGTGTTTCGCCATGATAATATGCGCTCGGATGGTGTTTTGTGAATGGAGTCTTTGCCTAATGATGAAGCAATACTGTGGCGTGTAGAGAAGGAATTGTTTCGGCCAAGAATCCTTCGCGAAAAGCCAGTATCCCACACATCACTCCGCAGTTTATGGTATCCACAATCCTGTCGAAAAGCTTTGATGGTGCCATTGGCATCTGCAGCGATGATTATGTTTCCGCAAGGGTGAGAAAATTTCGTTGAAGGTGGCTGGAACTCTTCTGGTTTCCGAGTAAGTGGAAATGTAGAGCTTCTGGGGGTGGGTGCCAACGACCCTTCCCGGGAGCCACCGGCATCAGTAGTTGGTTTAGACGCCACAGACGGTGCTTGGCTAACAAGAGTAATAGGAGGTGGATTGCAAAGGTCATAAAGGAGGTCACCAGTCGCCCCAAGCAACTGTCTAGTTTTATTCGGAGCGAAAATAGCGGTCGTGACGACAGAGGGGTGTGCTTCGAAGATCTCAACAGCGCGCTTCTCTGGGTCCCTTTCCGGAGAGGCGATAGGCCATATATACACTTTCCTATCCTCACTTCCACATATAACATATTTGCCATCGCTGCTGAATGTAGCCCGAATTTGACTAGAATGATTTTCGTTCCCTCGAAACTTCACCTCCAGTGTGCGATCCCTAAAGTTATATAGACGGATTCGAGAGTCATTGCTTGTGATGAGAAGCTTCACTAAGCCGTTGGGATTGTTAGGTGGTTGTACGATCGTGTCAATTCCGGTTATTTTACTGCCCTTGGCATTCAGCCCGCGTGCTGATCTCACATGGATTTGGGAATGAATTTTCAAACCGTCCGTGTCATAGATGAGACAGAGTCCGTTCCGGCAGCCAGCAATAGAGTACTTCCCGTCAGGGGTAAAAGCCACAGAGGTTATCATGTCAGGGAGGGTAGTCACAAACGCTACACTCTTGTCTGGTATGCTCCATAACCGTAACTTTGAATCTAGAGACCCAGCGAGGAAAAAACGATCGTCTTGGGGATGAAATTGCACGGACGTGACAAAGTCGTTATGTTTAAAGCAACAAAGGCATTCGTTTCTCGTAACATGCCACAATCGAACTGTTTTATCCATCGATGTGGACAGCAAGAAATTATTCTTCAAAGAGTCCAATTAGCACCTTGTCAAAATTAAACGGTTTGGTTTAGCGGAAGGGGTCGCCCAAAACACCAAAACACGTACCTTGCTCCAAGTCAAATCAACAATGCTCGCGGTGTGCGATTCATATTCCCGTACAGGTTGAAACTTAAACACAGGTGCTCTTAGTCGTATGAATGGCTTGTCGTTCTGGGCCTCTTCTTCAATCTCATGCGCCTGGCGATCCTCGCGTGTGGCAATGACAGCCCAAACGCGAACCTTTTTATCCTGCCCAGCTGCAGCTAGGAATTTTCCATCCTCGGAAAACTCAAGGGCCCATATTGCCTTACCGGTTGCTGGAATCTCTTCTGAACCGGTTGAACTATCCTTGCCATCTAATGACTTGTTCTTGGTGGAAGAACAAGTACCACAGAGCTCTTGAGCGATAAACAGGCGGTTAAAGTCTTTATCCTTCTTGTAATGAGAGCGAACTTTGATATATTTCGGTGGCGGGGGATATCGAGGGATAAATCCTATCGGTTGAGCAAATACTTCAGCGTCCATACCGGTGGCACGGATCTCGCCCGTTTCAGAGACATCGTCTTTCCACTCAGCGGAGGTTTTCTTCTTGCTGCCGATGATACGGCTCAAGAATGAAACGCCTTTCCTAGAGTCAAGTGAAAATCGGTGAAGAAATGATGTTGTTAGCGACTCTTAGAAACAAGAGGCCTTTCAGAAAAACGCTCAAATAGCGAGGCAAGGAAACGAATCTACCAATCCTCCTTGCGCAAGGGGGAATGCTGGTGACTTCCAGAACAGGGAATTCGAAAAACTTACTTCTTTTCCTTAGAATTTTTCTGATATAGGCTTGCTTCTCTTAATATTCCAGACGAAGAGTCTTCTTGGGTAAGGGCCCATTGGAACTCCGACCCACCTGGTTCCGTGTCAGATTTTCCTTGAGTTCGTAATCTTGGGGGGTTTGATCTATCTGTATTCGTTCGTTGGAGGATATGCTTGTAAGGCGCAAAGAGAAACACAAGCAATCAGCAAGGGAGTCCACAGTCTAGTAATTCCGGTTCCCTCCGGGGTCATATTTTACGAATATGGAGAATAGAGCAGGTAGAGGGCCATTTTTTTTTTTGGTAGATAAGGGAATGACGACTTATTTTCGTCGCTCCTGGCGTCTTCTTGGTGGCATATAGAAATAATCAAAAAAAAAGGACATACCTGGGATAGAGGATCGATCAGGGCCTGACATTGTGATTCCTGATTACTTGTACTCGAAAGTTTGAACTGCGGTTGAGACAACGAAGGTGAGGCTGCTGCTGCCACTGGTGGCTTGGTGGTGGGAATCGCCGTATGGCTTTTGACTAGTGGGGGCTTGCTATCGTTGTGAAGGTTGCGCTCCTCAGCTTTGTAACTGGCCGTATTGGCTGTGCTTGTTCGAGACGCCTTGCGCGCATCTGGAGGTTGCAGCAAGGGGCTGCTGTGACTTGTAGAAGCTCCATTTCCTGCCACTGTGCTCCCTTCTTAATCAGCGTCCTGCACGAGTCTAGGCTTTCGGACCTATCGAATGGCTGATCGAACAACAACGTGTAGGAGGAACACGAGAGTCAACGCTTGACGGGCTGAAGAGAGAGATACAGCAATTGGGGGCTTGCGAATAGCGTCGAATATAATATTTAAACGTGAAGCATCCCTGCCCGCGACGCACGCACTACCTGGCAGACCAAATGGGCAATAGAAATAAAAATGCGCTACGTACCTTCGGAAACAGGTCCTCCGTCATGCTCCCTCCTCCTGTGCATGCCACCGTCCTGGTCCATATTGCGAGCTTTTTTTTTTCTTTTTCTTTTGAATCAAGAACGAGTTAGGGGATCGCCAGGGCAGTGGAGGGCAGCGGAGTCCAGAAAGTCGCCGTCCATTAGCCGCAAGTGAGCTGTCGCGAGGGTGTGCATTGAAGGACAAAGGGGGTGGAGAGAGGAAGACAGGCGGGGGGAATAATTGCAAATGTAATAGCAAGCAGTGTAGACGAAGATATATATTGTTTATGCAGCGAGTGGGGTTGAGGTGAGTGACTGGCTCAATCCTTCTACACTGACTTACTTGCTTAATATCGCAACCGCCTGGAAAGCCTTTTGTGGTTTCTTTTGAATGGCGGCGGTGGTTCAGGAGGATTGATACAATGAAATTGAAAATCAACCACGATCGGCCCTAGCCACCACCCACACTCCTGCAATGCGCAAAATAACAGGCTGAGGAGGTGTTGGGGTCCTGGGTTGACTCTGGCCCATGGTTGGATGTTTTTTCAAGGCAGATATTGTGTTGAGTTTGGGTTGTGCCTTCAATTTCAATGGGGGTTGAATTTATAACCTTTTCTTTTCTTTTCTTTTCTTTTTTCTTTTTTTGAATAAATATTGATATCGATTCCCCCCGCACGCGCGAGAGTCGTTCCTGCTGTAAGTAATTGTTGTTGTCGAGGGCGCGCGCAATTATTAATAAGTAAGTTAAAACAGCTAACTTAAGTTAACTAACTTTTTAACTAACTTTAGCTAGGCAAGCAAATACGCTGCGCGTAGACAAGAAGAAGGTTGATCTCTGGCACCAACGTTGATTTATAACACGCAGGTTAACACGCAGGCTAACCCGCTCCTCCAAATAAGAATAACCATCCATCAACCAGGGGCCAGCTTATCCTGGGTTGGCTGCGGGTATCGCTGATAATCCTCCGCAGCTCGCATTCCAAGGTTGCATTGAGGCCCTGGATGTGGCGGCTTTGGACAATTGAAATCCCTCCCCTCTACATGAGTACGGAGTAGTGGCAGACCAGACAATGAGCCAGATATGGGGAAATTCGAAGGGAGAGGCTTGTATATGTACAGCGTATGTACTCCGTAGAGTCGTACTCGCAAGCACAGAAAAGTATATATCTAACTTCTAAATAAAACATGAACCGGAGATGCGAATACTAAAAATAATATCTTGTCGCGTCGTGCCGTTTCTCCCGCCAGATCGCCTTTCTCTGCCATAGTACGGAGTAGAGGCTGCTACTACACGGCCTCATTATTCCCCACTTGGACAGTTCTCCCGGATTGGTCTGGGTTTATGAATCAATCTTATGGTTGATTGCGCTATTCAGTGCGAAAATACGGATTAGTAGTGGTGTAAGTGTTGCGGCATTGGCCTTTTCTATTCAAAACCTCTAACGTACTATTATAAAAAAAAAAAAGGAGAAAAAAGAAGACGGGCCTGCGAAATGACGAAAGGTACAGTACATACATTACAAAGAGTTAAAATGCTGCACTTGTATCGGTTATGTACTCTTAACATCGAGCCGAACCGAAGCCCTGAAAGCTGAGACGTATTTTATCTCATCATCATCATCATCATCATCATCATCATCATCATTATTATTATTATTATTAGCATCAGGCGTATGTTAAGTGGGGGTTTTGATATTTCTGGAGGGGACTCCGGGTTTTTTTTGTCTTTAACCTATATGTATGTATATTATATATATTTATATATATAGCCCGCAACTGGATCTTGGTGGCCAGCTGCAGTCCAAAATATTGTATGTTCATTAGAGGGAAAAGGATCCCTATCAGCATGCAGCACAGAAGCTAGAGTTTTCGCATGACAAATAGCATGATGATTGATATCCGGATAATCGGACCTCCATCGGCTTGCTGTATCGAATAAATAGATTGCGTAACCTTATCTCAGCGGGCTCAGACCTCTGGCTCGGTTTGAACAGGTTGCAGACTAATCCGGCATGACACTAACCTACTTTTGATACAAGTCATGTGCTCAGAGCAATCCTCGCCAGAGGGTCTGAGAAGAAATGGTTCCATCTTCAATGGAGATTCCTGAGATTTACAAGGATTTTTCAGATTCTTTAACTTTGACTTTCTATTACTATATACCCACATATCTTTGAGATTTGAAAATCACCTTAGCTTATAGCTAAAGAGAAGAAGAATAGAAATATTTCTTTAATATTTCAAAAAAATCTATATTTAAGATAGATATATACTCTTGAAAATGATCATATTTTTTGATCTCAGAATTTCTAAGAGCTTTTTTTTATATGAGAAATTGGATTAAAATTCCTGTATTCAAAAACACACTAGTCAACTTTGAGGTGATACTTCTATTCTAAGAACTTGAGATATGAATATAAAAATCAGATACATCACAAGAACATTGTTATTCTAAGATTTCAAGATGATACAGAAATGATGAATCTATGAAGTTAAGTTGAAATTCTCTTTTATACTCAGAATACTGAGTAAATCCTTTCCATGTTACTAATAATCAGGAACTATTTCTTCTCAGATGCTTTGCAAGATATCATCACTCACATGACCTGATTTTACTATTTGGGTTAGCTTATTGCTTATTTGAGATTAGCTCATAATATAATCATCAATTCAGTGTTAAAACAGCAATGAATAGATATCTGAAGAAGCGTCTGAGCTTGCTGAGATAAGTATAACCTCTAGATATTCTTGAGAGTTTTACTTTTATAAATACATCAATTAGATGTCGCAGGGTATGTATGTATGTATACTTCTTAAAAAATCCTTCAAAACTCATAGTTTATATAAGATGCTATTTTGAACCTTTCAAAGCATAAAGAAGATAATGGAAAAAGACAATAGAAAAATCAATACATCTAAGCAATTATTATTCATTGATATCATGAATTTATTTGAGCAATAATCATGAAATATGAAATTTCTTCTGCTGAATTTACCATGTATTTTTATAGCTGAGAATGTGACTGCTTCATGAGACTAGATTCTATATCATCAATTAATAACACTCAGCTACAAGAGTGAAAATGACATGTATATAGAGTATAGTAGGCCTTGTGTGTAGCTGAATAGCAAAGTAACTGTGATATGAGTACTCTGTAGAGAAATTGACTTATTAAGTACAGATGATATAGCATAGAATTATAGACAAAAAGAGAAAGAGATTTTTGTATTTTGTATTTTATATTTTTTATTTTTGCAGCTGAACTGTCAGCTCTAACAAGAGTTAGTAAATGTGATTGATTCTGTGCATTTGCTATCTCATGGTCTAACTATGTGATGAACAAGAAGTATCACATACTCAGACAGAAGTAAATACTCATTGAATATGATAGATATAGTAATATCAAGAGCAGTGTGTATTCTGCACTATCTATGAATTTTGTGTTCTCAGATGCAAGTATAGAATGAGGTTGCAGTGATGGCAGTTTCAAGTTATATCAATCAATGAAAGAGTTGACTATGCATGCTATAAAAAGAGAATGTCTAGCAATGAGAAGAGATATACTGACAATGAAGAGAGATTCAAGCCCTGAGAGATATATTGTTGCAGAAATGATAGATGAAATCTGCAAAGTGAGACATTCAAAAGATAAACTGTAGAAGATGAGATCTAGTTAATAATGCAGCTTACCGCAATATGTTGACTTTTTTTCAAAACATGAAAGGACTTTTAAACAGAGGGGGAAAAGAATAAAAATCAAAGCTGACATGAGTTACAGTTTCTCTGCAACTGCAAAGTGCATTCATTCTGTTTCCTACATTTCTACATTTCTACATCTCTGCTATGTGTGAACCATCACTGCTAACCAATTGTGCATATTTCATCCAGTGTCTCTTGGCCAGTCTATAGAGTAGAGTTGAGTAATCCTCTAGTTACTCCGTATAGAACAGCAAATTCTGGGTTCCGTGATTGCGACCCTGAACGCATAGTCGATCTTCATGTCAAAACCAACCTGCTATTAGAAATGCTCGACGAAACCCTTCATTATCATTTTTCAAAGCAATGGATGGAAGGAAGACATTGGCTTTGCCGACACAAATGTTGAATCGTTCGGTAATTTGGATATCAGGGAAACTTCGCAGAGAGGGACAACGGCATAACAGGCTGCGTGCTAACTAGTCCATAGACACGACACGCCAGAGCTGCTGGCGCGATATGTGGGCCGGAGTGGGATGGACACCGCTGGTAAAGCTCCTAGTTACATGCTGCTCCAACCCGCCACTCAGCGGCTGCACGTGCTGGCTGCCAGTGGATGCTTGATATAGAGAGCCGGATACAATAAAAAGCCACGGTGTCGCGAGTCGCCAAAGGATTGGAAAGTCAATGCCGGAATGGTTATCAAACTACGGCTTAGGGTGCCGTTGGGTGACCATGAATTCGGCTCTTGGGTCATGGTAGGACGGGACGGGATGTATATTGTTGAAACATACAGGCCGTGAGGAACCAGCACTTCATTGCCCTGAGCCGTGGCCTCGAGGGACCATAATCGTTCATGCTGATTGGTCTTTTATTTTCCTTGGTATCTTCTCTCCAGCAAGTTGCAGTCATGGCTTTTCTTGAGCTTGCCATGGCAGGGCTCTCCCTGAGCCCGATTACCTCTGCTTCGTTCTCATACAATTTAAGTAAGTTAGTTGCCTGCATTACAAGTGCATAGAGTTCACATTTTCCTCTATTACGCGATGTAAAATCCCTTGTTGATCATCAGCTAATACCAACCACCAGACTACCGCTCCCATTCCCATAATCACCCTGATATGGGAATTGCCATTAACAAGGTGCACAAGCGGAATGTTCCATCCTCTCCATTCAACCCCGAGGATCTGTACTTCACTCATAGCGTTGCTTCTGGAGATCCTTACTCCAATTCTGTGATCCAATGGACCTGCGTCTCACCTATGAACAAGAGCAGTGACTCCAACGTGGCTGTCAGTGGTACAGCCCCTCTGTATGACCATGGCAACGATAGATACGTTTCCGTTTCTACTGCGCCCGTTTGTGTGGAGCACAAAGTTGCAAGGGATGGCATGATGAGGAAAGTCGTCACCGGCAGAGAAGTTTGGACTTCCTCTGATGTTGACTATACAGTCAAGGTATATATACTCCTGACATTGAGGGAATTGGTCTGTCTCCGAGCTATAAACTAACCTGCCCTGATATAGGTTGAAGCGACTGATCTCAAACCATACACAACTTAGTACTATCAATTTACTGTTTGCGACTCGAAGAACTCTTCCCCCATTGGACACACCAAAACCACTCTAGAAAGGCCGACAAAGTGAAGAAGGACATCAACCTTTCTGTCTTTTCTTGCTCTTACTATTGTGAGTTAACGCACTACACATAATTATTCTTTATTATTTATGCCTTACTGACTTGCGACGATAGCCCAGGGATTTTTCAATGCCTACGGTAATGCTGCCTGTAAAGACAATGCCGATTACGTTATCCATCTTGGTGACTATATCTACGAGCACAAAGAGGGCGAGCACTATGCTTTTTAATGGTGAATATCAAACCATTCCGATACTGAAATGTCTTGCTATAAAGGTGGCTACGGATGGGGCTGGTTCATGGATCGCATCCCACAGCCTGCGGATCACAATACCAAGTCCTTGGATGTCCTTCTCGTTATCGCGAACGCATAATTTGTTCTAATAATATATCTGGCAGACTTGACTCTCGCATGAGATATTCCAGTTACCGCACTGACGCTGACATCCTTTACTCGCATCAGAACTTCCCTGGATCACCATTTGGGATGACCATGGTAAGAGCATTCGCTTTCCAACTTTCTCGCAATCCCTAACCGCTTTTTTTCATTGCAGAGGCGAAGAACAACATCTGGAAAGCTGGTTCGTCTAAAATGAACAATACAGAAGAATCCTTCATTAAGGCCGGTGGAATTTCCATCAACCAAGTTAAGGCCAACGCCGTCCGTGCTCACTTCGAGTGGATGCCCATCCGCCAGGTCGATATGGACGAGACCCTCCGTATCTGGCGCAACTTCGAGATTGGCGATCTATTCAGTCATATCATGCTTGATACCCGTGTCTATGATGGCTCCGTTACCGACCTTACCTGGAATAGAAATTAGCTCGATGAGATCCGCGATGAGCAATCCCGCTCCATCATGGGCCACCGACAGGAGGTCTGGTTCTACCGCTAGCTTCGAGAATCTGCCAAGCGCAAAGCCAAATGGCGGATCGTTGGCCAGCAAGTACTCATCTCCAATATCACGTACACCGATGGCAGGGAAGAAACCCCCTATAACGCCGACGCCTGGGATGGATACCGCGCCAGAAAAAACAGGATCCTCTCCACCATCCTTGATAACGAAATCAACAACACCATCTTCCTTGCCGGCGACACTCATGCCTCCAATGTCTCTGACCTCGTCTACACGGGCCATGGCGAATATGACCCCAAATCCGGCTCAGGAGCCATTGGTGTCGAGTTTGGTGGCTCTGGCGTCACCTCCCCCGAGCCCGTCGGCCAGAACGGTACCTTCGCCAAGGGAGCCGAGAAGTGAAAGGCGTTTGTCGAGACCAGCACCCCCCTGCAATGGCAAGATTCGTACTACCGCGGCTCAAGATCAACCATCAGCGCGTCCTTGCTGATTCTTTGGTATTCCTGACATACGTACTCGCAACGGAAAGGAAATCAAGCTTGCCACCTTTAAGGTTCTAGATGGCGCGAATAAGCTGACGAGAAATGAGAAGGAGGAGCCTGTTTTTGGGAAGGCGGTTGGTGGAGCTCTTAAGAACGACGAGGTTAATCCTGATGATGCGGTCATTGTGGATACCGTGAAGAAACAGAATTAGGAGGTGGATCGCTAGAGATGCATGTTACATCTCCTCATTATTACTTTTACATGTATGTACATGTACTGTACATACGCAGACTTTTGTTGGACATACCTAGGAAGCTTTCCTTTTCATGGAACGGTCCAAGCAAATAGTTTTTCTCATGCTCGTCTCATGAAACGATACCGATGACAAAAAGAAATTTCATTAGTGTGGTGTGATGTCTATGTTCTTCGACCATGTATACTTAGGAGTGTTCCAACCCTGAGGCGCTTTTGTGCTGCGAACGGGTTCAATGTTTATTTTATTTGACCACAGGCGGTTCAATGGGTGATATAACCCCCTGCCCCCTTTCCACCTTACTATAATGAGATAGTTCCTCCATCCACGCCAATCCCGACTAAATCTGGAAAAGGAGAAGAGAAAAAACTGGTAGTTGGTCGAACGCAAGTTCTCAAGAGCCGAGTATAGATTGGGTTAGGCTATAACTAGTACCTGCATACTCTTCTTCTGGCGTGCATACATATGTAGGTAAATAGGGGTGAAATGTAGGAAGACCCGCGCGGCTTGTGTCCATTGAGGGCGTTAGACAATGATGGGTCATGGATGCTACTACCAAAATTCCTACAAATGTAAAAGTTACCATCGAGGTCAATTGCATTTGGTATAACTTATGTTCTTGTTGCTTTCTTCTTGTTGTGCTGTTGTTGTAGTGATATGTGAGACGTGTCAAACACAGCTTGAATAAACTGAACGATTTTGAGGCGTGAGATGTGGACTATGTGGTTATTCTGGGATGTGATATTGAATGAGGTGTTTTTGGGCTTGCATTTGGGCTTGTCAATGCATACTGTGCGGCTCAAAAGGAGGCTTCTGAGTCACAGATTCTATATAACATTCAGGCTTGCGGGGTGTTGAGATTACTTATTCCAGTTCAAGCCAGAAGCCACTTTCCAGCAGCTAACTAAGAGCCGTGCAACAGAAGACAAGTCCAGCGCCATTATCTCCAGTGAACAGGTCACAATAATATGAAAGGCGGGGCAGTAATCAGCCCAAGTCGATTCCTTTGCGCTCCTGACAAACAAATTCTTGCTGCTAGAAAACTCGGTGGCTTTTGAACAGAGCGCCATTTTCTGAACTTGGGAACCTGCTCACGCGAATGATATGTCTGGAGTCGTGGGTCAGTGAGCTCGGAAGCGCCACATTAGCGACTCTGACAAAGATCGTGTCGGCTGTGCTGCTCTTCCTGCATACTTGTCGCTCCATGTTTGCAGCAAACCATGGCTGTCGTACGGAGTAGTGAGCGCCTGGATTGGACGACTGGCCAGCGTGGCTTATGGTTTGGTCAATGAGGATCATCGCTTCTTTCAGTATGATGAAAATCTGGAAAGCCTCCGTCCGACTCGATCAGCTCGTGTTGCGATGGCGAAGGCTGCCACAATTACTGCTGGCTACTGTGTCGTTCGAGTTGCGCTCTTTTGGAGTTATATATTCGTTCCTCTTCACTCATTTCTGAGGGAGAACATCGCTGGCAGTCGCTACACATTGACTGATTTATTCTTCCATTCATTATGCCTTCTGACACCTCCATCCAACAATCCCTGCTCGACACAATCGAGCGCTCTTTCTACCAAAAGCTCCCTTCAGACTCCCATCAGTCCGAGAGTCAAAGAACAGACCTCCATCCACTGGAGAAGGACCAGGGAATACTACCAATCAGCTCTTCTTTAGATCACTCGTATCAACCACATCCCATAACCCCGGAACGACTAGAGAGTACAAACGATACCCCACCACTCAGGCCCAGTCAACAGCAAGCCCCCGAACATCATCAAGGCCCGTTCAGCTATCCCACCAGCGGATTAATATTTATGCTCCGCTGGGGCTGCGCAATTCTCACAGTCGCAGCTACGATTCTGTTCGGAATCTGGGCTCCCCTGAGCTACCAGGAGACGAAGAACGCGAATAAGGATCACGATGAAATGCAGCGTGCCCTTATCAAATCCGCAAAATCGGCTAATGATATAGCGACAAGTGCACTTGAGGCTGCTTTTCTACAACTACAAATTGCGACTGCGCAGGCGAGTGTTATTGAAAATTTACAGACCCAGTTGGCTGCTATGGGACAGGTGGCACTGTTGCAATTTTGCAATGCGCAAACGAGAGGGGTGGGTAGAAAAAGCTAGTGCTGTAATTCTCTTTTGTTTTTCTTTATAGTGCGCGAAGTGCCTGCCCTTCTTGAAGTATCTTTTCTAAGCTCGCCGTATCATGCAACTCACACGTGCATCATCATTCAAAATTAGGATTTCGCGCCCTGCTCTTCCTTCATCAACTCCGCCCAACTTGCCAGCCTGGTTTCTCAGATTGCCACGCCGACTTCCACGCCGACTCCCACGATAACTCGTCCCGCGCCAACCGATTCTGCGCCGCCTAGACCTTCTCATCACACTCCCTCCACAGGCGATAACGATTTAGAGAATAGATCGGGAATGTCTATCGCCTCCATTCTTGGAATCGTTTTCGGCGGCACTGCTGCGATTGGGATCCTCACGGGGTTCTTCGTCTGGAGGTACCAGCGTGGGAGGTTGGTGGCTTCTAGGCGGTATCAGTGAGTGAAAGACGGTGTAGAGGAATTGGACTCATTTCAGAGCAATGTAATTATATTCATGAGTTGGATTGAAGGTACGTCATCCGTGAGTACTTGCTTCTGCTCCCCTTCCGTTATTTCTCTCTTAGACACATGTGACATTTGAGTTATCGCTGAGCACCGCAATTTTAGATACTGGGACAATGTTATATGCATTGAATTCATGCAGTACTGTCAGCCAGCAGAGCACCACAAACAGTGAATACAATTGGCCTACCTCACTGTGGGATTGTATATCCTTAATGTGACGATGGTATAGATATAGGTGCCTTGGGAGGCGGTCTTGACCCATAGTATTGAGAGAAGTGAGTGGCGTAGCAATTGATCGGCTGTTGAAGGAATGTTTCTCACAAGCCCCAAACCGTTAGTTGCTGTGAAAACGGTTCACTGAAGATTCTCTGATTTGATAGTATATGTTTGAAAGCATTTACCCGAATATCACCTGAGCGAACCACCAGCATGGTTAATGGCAGGCTTGTCTCTATGCACTGTAAAATGGGCGGTGTGGAGTTCGAGGCAAAATCTGTACTTAGATCATGCCTTGGTTGTGACGACACACTAGGTCAAAATCGACTTGAGATCAGGTAACCTTGGAAGATCAAAGAGAGTTGAATGATGGTATGTCAATACTGTACACTAATTGTCCAATGGGTTGGCGTGCTTCAAATAGAAATGGTAAAACGCATTTCAAGAGAATCATTGACGAGCATGTTTGATTCACTCCAGACGACCTTGAGAGTCCATAGGAACCATGGATCTGTCAACAATGCAAAATACAAAAAAAGATTTGTGAAAAGAATAGCTGTAGTTTCGACATGGTGACCTTCCTGGTGGACGGACTGGCGGGCGTGGGGGTTTAAGAGTCGCGGCGGTTGCCTTGGATTCTTCATATTTCGATCCAAAAGCATCGACCTCCAACACTCCCAACGTGGCACCAATTCGAGTCAGCCAAGACATCACTGCTATAATATTCCTTGAAATACACAGTTTGAGAGCTTGTGGTCTTTTTTCTTTCCTTTCTTTTCTCTTCATTTCTTTCTTTTGTCGGTTCCTTGCGTCTAGGACTTTGTGTGATTCCGTTCGTGGAAAAGGGAAATCAGTCAGGGTAAAAATATTCCAGACCAACAGGGTTTCGTAATGTCCCGTGCAGCTCAATTTTTGAGCAAGGAGAGCGGCATACTGGCTCTCCCGATAGGCAATCACCATGTCTTGGATCTTTATCAATTACATCCAGTTAATTGTAAAGAGTCACCTGGGACTGGAGTGTCCCACGGCTGGCAGGGGTGTGTCAAGTTTTCCAGCCACGAAGCGTTAAACTTGACAAGGCTGAGTGAAGGCAAAGGATGGAAAAACTTTCCTCTCCACATGGAAAAGGTGTACGGAGTACACACCATGGGTATTCCGTGTTGCTCTGCTCTATAAGTTCCAACTTACGAGCCATACCGGCCACCTTGGACATCTGGTTGAACCCATGTACCATCCATTTCCAGTACTCTCCGCCGCACTCCATCAAATCACCTGCGATATTTTTCGCATCATAATCGCGACAAATGCCTCAGAACTCTCATGAGTGGGCTAAAATAACTAAAGCGACCCTCTCACCGGTTTCAGTACAACTGATTTTACTTCCACGCTCACTATTTAACATAAATACTTGGATTCAGCCAGAAAGCAACGTTTCTGAGGTGGAACAACCGAATCAAGATGAAATGCTGCCATTTGGCCTTGGCCTTGAACTGTTTCACCTTGTCACACTTATATCTATACTTATCGAGCTATGGAATCTATTTCGCATTTCGTGTTTATCTTAATCAAGTGACTAGTTATAAGTGTGTTCATTTGACCAGCAGCAAAAGCAATCCTGGGTCTTGAAATTAAGTTGAATACGTTCCGCCATTATATAGCTCCAAACTATGTTGAAGGGGAAATGGCAAAGTTGGAAAAGGAGAAAACAAGGGTTGGGATCAAAATTGTCGTAAAGTGGGAAAATGAAATTTTTTCATTATTTTTTAAGACTACTAATAGCTTTGCAACTCGATGCATTTCAAGCAGAGCTTTGTTCATATGCACATATACTGCCCTCATTTTGCCCCTGAAGCTTCTGTGCTCGATCAATAGCTATATCGCACATTGCCTATATTTGTTTCATCGGGAAGAAAGCAAAATGCGGGTTAGTTCATAACGTTGGTATATTACTTGTATACAACCAACATGGGGAATATGCGAGTGGAGACGCAACGGGGAATGGGCAAAAAGGCCTACCTGTATAATATCCTCCTTCTCCTTTTCCACATCGCCCCTCTCAATTCGCCGTCGCATATCCTGCATTATAACATCTCTACTACGTCCGTTTACGAATACACTACAGCCACGATTATTATTTAGCACGCTTTATGGATACAGGTTTTTCTTGCTTTTCTCAAAAAGGAAAAAGGGAAGGGGTGAATAGCATAGTAATGATATTGACGGTACATACACATATCTCAGCCCCGGATATTTCTCTTCATACACACTATTCAACTTCTTCAAGTCCGCCGCCTCTTCCTCTCTTCTCTTATTAACACTCTCGTCCTGCTCCTCCCCTTCCCCCTTACTCGCATTCAACCCCGCCTGCTCCTGTCGACTCAATTCGCTCAGATTCTCCTGCTTCTTCTCCCCTAGGCGCGGATGTGCGCCTAAAATCCCATGGAGGACTTCTCTGTCCTTCGAAGAATTTGCAGCGGAGAGCGCCATCATGCGTGCGCCGATGGCGCTGATGAGGGACTGATAGGAAGAGAATGTTTGGTGGGCGAGGAGGGGGAGGGCCAGCGTGTGCAGGTCTGTAGAGGACTCGAAGAGGGTGTCGAGTATTTGTGTTTGGGTGGCTTTGGGGAGGTAGGGGATGGTGGAGATTGCGGGGAGGCAAGGCATGGTTTGGAGCTTGGGATTTAAAATTTGCTAGTACTATTGTTCTTATTCTATCTTTTGTTAATAGACTTACGTAGTCAGTAGGGAATGTATAAAAGGAGAAAAGAGAGTAATGAATTGAAGAGCAGCGGGAGTGTTTACTTATATACATCAATCACACATGGATCTCGGAGCTGGCCGTCAAAGGATCTCGAAGGGCGGGATGACGTTGTTCATGTGATTTTCTCGGGATATCATGTGACTCGGGTTTGTTGTTGGCCGCTGCGGCTATTTGTAGCGTCCGCCCTAGTGGCGTTGCCATAGCGATCGCTCCGCCTACACGTGATCTCATATGTAATATAAATATAGCTAGCTCTTCTCACACGAATACAATAGATTAATCATCTCACAGGTTATAGCTCAGATAGCATGTTTTTACAAAAAATTATATTATTTTTATTTTTATTTTTACTTTTATTTTAAAACATCTATGTAAGCTTTAAATGTATTCACTCTGAATAGAAGAATTCTTTTATATTTACTTTATACTAGACTGACTACTGAGATTATAAATTTCATATTTAATTTCATTTAATCTGATCTCATATATTTCTTAACATGAATCTCACTAAGACTAATTATTAAAAAAACATGCAAAGTAACTATATATCAGATCTTAAAATAAGATTATGACTTAGAGTCTGTTCAGTGCGTCTGTGTATACTCATTCTTTTTATATGAATCTCTACTTTTTTTAAAAAGTACAGTCTTGTGGCGGGCTGCGCCCGATCAATCATATAGACTATTCCGTTACACTCCACAGATTCCACGTACGCTCCGATCCTCGGCCATTCTCGATCGCCGATCCTCAGCCGCCATGAACGCGTACACTCTGATTCTCAGCCATTCTCAATCGCCGATCCTCGGCCGCTACAAACACATGTATATTCTTCCACCCCGAAGCTCCATCACATACATGTATAAATATTCACCTCAATCACTGATTCTCACACTTTCTCTTTCCTTCCTTCTTTAACATTTTTATCTTTTGCTATATAAGACCTATATCTTAATGCCAATCTATTCAGTGTAGACCTCTTACACTATAAAAATATTGATTATCTTCTTATTAGAAAACAATTATTCATGCATCATCTTCTTATCAGAAACAATTATTCATTAAGAGATATCTGAACATATAATAACACATAAGAAAGAGAAAACACAGATAAGCAGGCACTGAGTTCTTAGATAGAAGCTTACTTATCAGTCACTCTGACCCTGCAATAAGATCTTATAAAGAGAATAAAATCTTATAAGAGAATGTTAGTGAAAGATCTGAGAGTTCTGACACTCAGATATATAAGATATTTATACAATTATATATCTGATAATTGACATAATCATGTCTAATAATAATATGAAACTCTTGAACATGAGTATAGACACAGTATCACAGTGACTTTAAGTAATATTAAAACTACAATAGTAATAAATAGCTGATATGCATGTAACTCAATAATATTAATATGAAGAGATTCAATAATTATTATAATAAGAAACTCATGCAATTTCAGCATCTACAGAATTGAATATAAAAGCACTGAAAGAACACTTAAATACTCTCACATATTTCAATACTTCTGATCTCACTCTCTACTTATCATAGAGAATGAAAATGCTTGTGAAACTGAGTGTAGATAAAGATTTCATCAGTTCATTAATTAATCAAGATTGATATATCAATAAATGATTGAAGAATTGCATGAAACAGAAGTTTCATTCATGAATAAAAGCATGTAAATCAGTGTTGTGAACATCTGATAATATTATAAAATATCTTGATATTCTGTTTCAAGACACTGTTATACAATAGAAAGTATTAGATTAATTACAGAGTATCTGACAGAGAAATACTTCTCTTACAACATTCATTTCTGACTTCAATATCAAGATTCTAGAAGCAGATAGTCAGTCTTAAGAGAATTGAATGAAGATTAGCATGCTTAAGAAGATATTGACTTTTGAACTCTTACAGACTTTTATAAGTATAGACAAAGACTTAACTTATGAAGGCTTCTACACACAGCTCTGAATAATGAATAACTGTCTTATCAAGCTCAAGAATATACAGAACAGTGATAGAAGATATTACATCTCAGTAACTTATACACCTGCACTGAGAAATAATAATAATACAGATATTATGAATTGAGTAGACTTGAATATCTATATATAAGTAAGAATCTCTGCTGTCTGAACAGGCTTTCAAGTCTCTGAGATCACTTCTGAAGAAGTTGTTAATTAACATCAATGTAAAGTATGCATCAACTGTAACTGATTAGAACACATTACTTTCAACTGCTGATTAATCTATGTATCTTCATATTTAAGAGAAAGATCAGTGTCTTCTCATTTGAAGAATGAATCAGTGTCTGTTCATATCAATCATGTTGCATTAGAGAAAGATTCAGAGAATAACTATAAGAATCTCTCAATGAAACAGAGAAAAGATTAACTTCTGTTCAAATTTGCAAATAGAAGCTTGAAGAGGTCAGATGACAATAATTTGAAGAGAAGATAATAATGAATATAATTCTTATATCTACTGTGATTAATAACATGTATAATATGAAGATTATAATAGACAGTAATCTATGCTACTATGCAATGATAAAATCTTCAGTTGTAAGATATTATAATCTTCAGTATATTTCTCTATTAAAACTCTGACTTCTTATAGAATTTGATGATTTAAAAGACATTTGTATTCATTATATAATGAAGTTAATCATAGATGTAGAAGAACATCAATATGAAGATGTCTATACATATAAAGTTGATAATCTTGATTATAATCTTATGTTAGAACTTATCTGACTATCTGAATAAAACATCTTATTGAATACTTAAAACAGAAGCTTGATATTCTCTAATAATGATAGAGTTCACAAAGATAACATTTATAAGACTATGAATCTGACACAGATCTCTGTCAACATGTATAAAATACTCTGAAAAAGAAGTCATTATTAAAATCACTGACAGAGTCACTGATAGTAAGATTATATATTAATCTATTTCATCAGTCTGACTGATATTAAAAAGACTCTAGAAAAGTTATCTTATATTATAATAACAGATTCTTGTATGAAACTCTCTTAATAATATCATGAATATCTAGCTATCTTCTGATAAGATAATATTACAAACATATCTTTCTTACAAGGTTCTGAAGCCCCGGTGGCCGAATGGTTAATGCGGCCACCCGGTAGCACCTTGGCGTGGGAAACCAAGGCGCGTGGGTTCGAAACCCGCAGGGGATACATTAAATCTGGAACTCAAGCACCTCAGGTTTCTAATAAATACAGAGGTGTACAAATCGCTTCAATGAATTGCTCTATGTTCCTGGGCTGAGAAGTTATTATCACATGTATTTAATTGTCACTTCTTTGTATTTTCCTATGTTCTTGTTATCTTGGCGTGGTCTCAACACCTGTATTTCCTCCTGTATAATCAACACTTGACCTGTATTTAACATCACGCAAGAACTCATCATAAGCTTCGCTTGCATATGAGTATAATGAAAGAATAATAATAATAATAATAATAATAATAATACAAGGTTCTGAAGTGAATCACAGTATTAAGTTAGAGAAAAAGAATGATAAGAACTCTGAATTATTATAAGATTCTCTTTATAATATATTCTGAAATGAACTTCTTCTTCTTTAAAAGACACTCAATAATCTGTTGAATAAAGAATTTATACATATTAGTAACTCTTCTGTCACAGTCTCTATTCTCTTTGCAAAGAAATCAGATGAAGAACTCTGATTCTGCATGAACTACTGAGATCTGAACAGATTAACAAAGAAAGATTGATATCTCTTATCTCTTATCAATGAAACCCTAGCACAGATCAGATAAGCTCAATGATTTATAAAACTAGATATTATTACTGTGTTTCATAAGATTTATATCACTGAAGAAGATGAATAGCTTACAGCATTTTAAACATATTATAACCTCTTTGAATGAATAGTTACACTCTTTGAACTGGCTAACATTCTCAGTACATTTCAGAAGTATATCAACTGAGCACTTCAAGATTTTCTTAATAAGTTTGTATCTGCTTATCTAGATAACATTCTCATCTTCACTGATAAATTCAGAAAAGAATATCAAGAACATATACAAAAGATATTACAATGACTATGAGAAGCAGAACTACTGATAGATATTGATAAGTATAATTTTAAAGTCAAGAGTACTAAGTATCTGAGTTTTATTATAGAAGCTGATAAGAGGATTTGAATGAATTCTGAGAAAGTCTCTGCCATTCTTAAATAAGAAGCTCTGTGTACTGTGAAAAATGTACAAAGCTTCATCAGATTTACTAACTTCTATCAGTGATTTATATAAAACTTCTCAGATATCACAAGATCACTTACAGATCTTACTAAGAAAGACTCAGTATTTCAATAATCAGCAGACACTGAACCTGCATTTATATAGATAAAGAAGATATTTATTAATACTTCTCTGCTAATAATCTTTGATTCTGATTATAAGATAGTTATTGAAGCTGATTTCTCTGACTATGTAATAGAAGAAGTAATATTGTAATATGATGATGAAGATATTCTATAACTATATATCTTCATATCTAAGAAACTGAGTCTCACTGAATGCAATTATGAGATCTATGATAAGAAACTTCTCATAATTATACACTGTTTAGAAGAATGAGACTCTGAACTCTGAAGTATCTCTGAGTTTGAGATAGTCACAGATCATAAGAATCTCAAATACTTTATAACTACTCATAAACTTACTGAATAATAGATATGATAGTCTGAGTTCTTAAACTGCTTTCATTTTACAATACACTATTATTCTGACAGTCAGAACTCAATGATAGATGCTCTCTCACAATGAGAGTAAGATATATTATCTGATGTAACAGATACTCACTGAATAAATCAAGAGCACTGACTCTTAGATCTGAAGATACTAGTTAATCAAGATGAAACAGCTCATAACACTATACATGCTTCTCTGATTAGAACTGTCACTGATATCTCAACTTCTTCTGAATCTACATTAGATGAGCTATAGCATATAGTAGCTTAAATCAATGAACTTCTTCAAGCACTCACTGAAGCAGTATGACAAGAAGTATTCTGATTTCTCTCAGAATTATAAGTAAGAACTGACATCTCAGAATATTCAATTGATAATAATAATGCTCTATGATTCTGTGAATGATACTGAGTCTCTCACTCTGAACTCT